TGCCCATACTCGAGAACATACGTAAGATGTCACTTCATGAAAATGAGCATATGAAAAATTTGTAGATATATAACAAATACAAACATATGCAACAAACTAGAAACACCGGACAATTAAACAATATAAAAGAGGTAAACATACGCAGCCAACCAAGAAAACAAGACAAAAAAAAAACATATGCCTGGATCTCATATGCAAACCGGGTATACATGTGCCCATGGGTTTGCGGGTTTGAGTGATACAATACCACGCCCACACCCGCATACCCGATGGGTATGGCTTTTTACCCATTAGCATACCCATGGGTAAGAATTTTAATCCATGCCCATGCCCATGCCGTAATAGGGTAAAAACCCATCGGGTTTTAGATACCCATTGCCATCTTTAGCTCAGACTGAGAGTGTGCCCAGTGTAAGTAGCTAGCATGTAAGCATTGGTCTTTTCAAGTGTGAAACAGTATCTAGGGAAGACATGTTGCAAAGGCTTAATAATAAGTAACAATGTGTACAAATATAGAGCGACCATCGCCATCCGCATTGTCCTACACCCAGCTGGAAGGTACTCATTGGATTAGCAAAGAACCGCCTTCCACTCGTTGAAGATTTTTTACAGTGACCTTGCTTCAAAAGACTCCGCAGTATCGTTGGAGAAGTAGGCACAGGTTCATCAAACGCCTGAATAGTGTTTATCGATTGTAAGCCTTCCCACCTATGTCCTGCATGTCTGTATAAACCAATGGGAGCAAGGGAAAACATATGAAAAAAAACGTAAAAATAATATTTAAACACAATGACATTTGAATATCGAATGTACAAGTACAAATATTATCATCTACTAGTCAATATACCTGTGGATTCCAGTACATCCATCCTATGGAAAACGTCCTCCTGATACACAAAAAGCAGAGCACACAATCAAAAGGGCAACATTGACAGATAGGTAAAATGGTAACTCCATATGGTCATGGAAACTTCTTTCAGTAAATAACATTCAGAAGAACCACCCCATTAGTTAAGACAACCCACACGAGGACTTTCTGTGACTAGAACACTAAGAAATAAAGAGAAATAAAAAAGAAGCATACCCTAATAATACACAGAAAACAAAGCACAGTAGCCACACAAAAACAGCACACATTAAGACCATCAAACGCACAAGGGGAGTAGTGAGCTTTCATTTGTGTTCAAAAAAATCTTTCTAGAAGACTGGTTATTTTGAATGTAAAAAACAAAGCATGCCTTCTTCATGTAACATAATACAACTAACCCAAGAACTCACAGATCCAATTGCATATATATAAAACTTTGGAAAATTTTCCATTACAAAATAAGCAGGTCTAAGTATTAAAAATAAACACAAACCTCAACAATTCCTGGATATTGCATGACATATCCAATAATTCGGCAATTTAAACCTTCATAGACAGTGCTATTCATGCTGCCATCACCATTTATCCATGGTAATATTGGATTGTAAATATGGCTTTCGCAACATGACAGCAACCACAGCCCTGGGGACAGATGGACTTTAATCATCTCCAGGACTTTGACTATGCAAATGAGAGCTTTAAATCCTTTGAAAATTAAGAACTGTTACAGTGTGCCCATTGCCAAGATCTTTTGCAAGTTCGCTGCAAATTACTAATAGGCATCGCATGCTTCTCTTTTAATATTTTTGGTGTCCCCAGTCGATGCTATTTCAAAAGCCGGAGCTCGCAAGCAGCTACAATGACTGCATTCAGCAAGTCTAGTTATATGATACTTTGGCTTATGAAATGAGTCAATAATCTGCACACCATCATATATGAATTGAACTGTGAAACCATTGATCAAATTCAGACTCCCGTGTATTGATTAATGTGGTCAAAATAATGAAAATACTTGATGTTCTACAACTTCTAGGCAATATTGGCCAATTTTTAAGGTTTTACCCTTCTTAAAGCACCATTAACTAACTTTTCCCCACAAGCACACTTTAGAGAAAACTAATTGACGGTCAGATGTGGATTTTATCTACCATCTTAGTTCCTGTGCCCTCTAAAACAAGTATTATGAACCGGAGGGAGTACATATGTAACAATGTAAAATGACAGTTGTAGTTTGCATAGATTATACTCAATATATAAGGAAAGAGAATGTCAGTAACAAGATCTGTCTGTTAAAATTTATGGAGAACTTGACTAAACAAAAAATAAAGAAAACAAAACAAAAGAGAAGAATAGAAAATATTCACACCTTGGTGCATATGAAGTGAACTTTATTAAATCCATCGATTTGACGGTAACAAAAAGCAAGCTAAAAAAGCTAAACCACTAGTCTATTATACAATGTTCAAAAAGGCGCTAGGCGATTTCTAGGCGATGGCCCATAGCCTAGAGCCTAGGCGAGCCTAAGCGAACCTAGGCGTTTCAAGGCGTTTTTCTAGGTGTTTCCATATCCATGCATATTTACATCAAAGTCTAAAAGAAAAGGAGAAACAGGAGAACAATGGGCCAAGAGTTATACAAGAAGGCCCATAAAAACAGCCCATGCCCAAGTCTGAACAGCAAACCTTATCCCTAACCTCACCTCCCAACCTTATCTATTCCCTGCTCGCCGCACGACTCGCAAGTCGGACTGGCCGCACCGTGCGACGCCCCTCTGCCTCCGTGACACCCGCCACCCCCGTCCCAGCCTCCTCCGCGCTGCTTGCCGGCCCCAGTCCCAGCCTCCTCCGTGCTGCTCGCCGCCTCCTGGCCGCGCCGGCGACCCGCCCTTATCCTCCGCCTACCCCCTTAGGCGAGGCGGAACCCCTCCGCCTAGCGCGTAAGCGGGCCTAGGCGGGCGCATAGCAGCGCCTTTTTGAACAATGCTATTATATATGTATCCACATATCTACCTTAATAGGTCAGCTGAAATCTCACGAGCATATCAATAACCAAATTGAGAGACTGCATGCCTGTAGGGGATAAAATAAAAGAAAATGAATTCTAGCAAAAAGAAAATGTAGCTTTGTGCAGCAAATTCTACAAAATCTACAACATTTTTTGTTCACAAGAATAAAGGGTACCTAGTGGATGCAGTGCCTGTGACATTTCCCTCAAATTAACTCCTTGTTCACCAGTTTGATTAATAATACAAAATGCATTTCTGAACATGTGAGAAGAAAGAATGGATGATTCGTTTTTATTACAAGAAAACGATGGTAACTGTTCGGCATATATTTTCATAGTCTCTCAAGGCCATCCGATGTAAGAATTGTCCAAATGAGATGCAGACAATAAACAGCGACAAAAACTCTTGTTTAAATCTGATAACATGTCACAGCTTTCTACCTAGGAATGAACATACTTGCTGCCCATTTCCCTAGCTAAAGTAAACATAAGGCATTCTTTATGCTGCAACACTTTCATGAGATTTCTTGTTTGAATCCTCTCTTTATTCAAAGCCACTTGGATATCAGGGAAACCTTTCTCTCGACGGTAGCAGAGGTCACTATCTATCTTGGTCAAAGGTTTGTGTTTCTTAGGCCAGTCTTAGTGGGGTTCATGAGAGTTTCAGGGGCATTGAATAAGCTACCAACTTAGGCCTTGTTTGGATGTAGTCGGATTCGCATCAATCCACGTGTGTTGGGGTGGATTGGAGTGGAAGTTGAACTAAATTCCACCGCAACACATGTGGATTGAGGTGAATTCGATAACATCCAAACAAGGCCTTAGCAAATATGCTGACATGGCACAATATTAATGAAGAGAAAGATGATCAAAGTTTCATAGGAGTAAAATGAGTTTTATGGAGATGAAACTAGTCTACATTGTTTCCAACATATAGGAGTCTCGGAAACTAGGACATGAAACCCCAAATGAGACTAGCCTTAGTCTTACTGATTTTGATGTCCATAGCCGCCTTGCGTTTGTGGGCATTGTCATCGAATTTACTCATATCTTCCATGGAAGTACTGAAGTTGTTAGGCTCATCGGCCTCGCCACCTCCTTCACTTGGCAAGGAAGGTGAAATGAGAAGCTCTCCGACTAGAGAAAAAAGGTGGACAATTTCACTGCATTGTAGATCTGCATACAACTAAACTGTACTGTCCACAATATTCTTTTGCTGCCCTATAAGCCATTTCGAAAATTCAGAAGCCTTTTCCCCTGAACTAAATGGGAAGGGTTAATGAGTAGCATCAAAGAAGAATTTTCCAGAAAGGATTACATGTTTCGTTCCATTTCCAGCCATTTATACTTTGGCTTAAGATAGTTCCAGCCATCAACATAAGAACCTAACATCGACATCCATCATAGGCAAGCTTATATTAGTGCATCTAAACTATATGAAGCTAATTTCGTAATGGTGGTTTGTGATATATCAGATATATATTATGTTTATTACTATGAAACTAATACCTATATGTACAAATAGTTCTCACTGCAAGAAGTTGAGGAAACAGGACAATCTTGTTTTATCAGCCAACAAGCTGAACATTGCATGTAAGACAATAAATCTAACATGGTTTTATCAATACATTTGATTTTTCATATGTACTACAGATCAAAGCTGGGTACAGCATAGTGAAGAAATAAAAAGAGAGAGATATAATATATTGATAGATAAGTTACACATTCTAACCATGAAGTTCTCTCTCGAAAAGGAAAGGATGGTAAGAATTTTGCTCTGTGAAAAAGTTACACATTAATGCAGCTTGTGCTTCTGAACACGATGATGAGCTGAGTAAAAGGGACCTTCAGAAGCTCTAATGCATTGGTAATTGCCAGGGACTTGCATACACCTCTTTTAATAACTTCAGCTTTGTGAGTTTAATGACGTTAGCATGAGATCTGCAATGGGATGTTATTGGAATCAGCTTTTACGGCAGAGAATTCTAAACAGCAAATGACAAAAAATGAGCAAAAAAGTTAGCTATCCTACTTATTCTTGTTTACACAGACACTCGCATCAAGACTCAAGGAGCATAAACCTGAACCTTCCAGGACTCAACTGAAATACTAAGTTAAGAACAAAGCCTCACCAACGTAGTCCCATCAAGATTTCAACTCCTGGCTCCAAGACATGTCCAAACCACCTGAGGCTCTCGTCTGCATCCAACCCAGACAATCGTGGCAGCACTGTCCACGCGCCATCAGCCGCATCAAACATGACCAGCCTCCCATCCACGGCATTATACAAGCAAACAATCCCCAATCTGTCCGCAGCCTGAAAATGCCAGAAACTGCCAAACCTACCAGCCAGCAGCTCATCAAAAACCTCCGTCGGCATCACGCTCACCTCCCTCCACCACACCTCCTCCTCCTTATCGTCGTCCAACCGCCAGACCACCACCCGCTCCACTTCTCCAAAGCTCTCAATCCCACCTACTAAGAACAGGCTCCCATCAAAAACAAACAGGTGCGCCGTAGTGAGACCTTGTGGCATCACAACAGGCGGCACCTCCCATGTCCCCGTCACGAGATCAAAAACCAAGAGCGCGTCGGGGCCACGGCCGAGGACGAAGAGCTTGCCGCGGTCACCGGCGACCGCGGCGTTTCCCAGGATCGTGAGGGAAAGCAGGAGATCGCCTCTAGACGCCCACCGCGGGGAGGGATCGCCGGTGTCCAGGGTGTAAGAACGCACGGCAGCGCCGGTGGTGACGGCAACGAGGGTGCAGGAAGGGGAGGAGCGGCGCGACGGGACGATAACGGAGAGGAGGTAGGCTCCGTAGGGGATCGGCAGGAGGAACTGGAGTGAGGCGCAGGTGATAAGGAGTGATGGGGACGGGGAGGAGACGAGCGGGTAGGAAGGGGGAGAGAGCGCGGCGAGCGCGGGCAAAGTGAGGACGCGGCGGGACAGCGGGTGGACGGCGAGCCGTGGGAAAAGGAGGAAGAAGGCGTCGAGGCGGTGCGGGGAGAGGAGGGCGTGGAACGCCGGGGAGCGCAGGAGGCGGCGGAGCGCGCGGGACACGGCGGCGACGGGAAGTAGTTCGGTGATGGGGAGGAGGGAGAGGATGCGCTCCTGGAGGTGCGACGGGAGGGCGTCCCACGGGCAGGTGCCCCCGTCGGCGTCGGCGGAGGCCATGGCCGCGGATGGAAATGGGGAACGGTGGATGAGTGGATCTGGGATTCTGTTTTTTCTCTGCTGTTTCCGGTGGAGAGCAAAATGGGGAGGTCAGGTCAGGGAGGCTGGAGAAAACACAAGCGACCAGGAGCCAGGGCCCAGGGATGCGAGAATTGATGGCAGGGCACTAGGCCCACCTGTCGGCATACTAGAGGCCCTTTGGTAGGGCTCCGGAAAGTGCTTTGGTGTATTTCATTGTTACAAAATCAGAGTTAAAGAACAAATATGAAAGTGAGAATTTGAAAGTAACCAAATTAAATAAGAGGAAAAGCTCATGAAAATTTTAGAAAAAAAAACATGAATAGTGTTCATCAGCCTTTTCCCTCTAGAATGAGAAGGAAGGATAGCTGAAACGGACATCCCAAAACATAAATGTGTGCGGCTCATGTACTAAAACAAAACAAGAAATAAGTTCATTCCCTTTCTCAGTTCTAGTTCTTGTATATGTGCAATCCAATTGGTTTTTTAACATGTTATCAACACTAGCCCTGCCGAGAACATGTAATCCATATGTTGAAATGCTTGATCTGTCATCCTACTATCACATGAACCCAACACGTGCGCTAACACTGGCACACATTACCTGCTATGTCGTTGACACATCGGCAACGCTTGGTGGCATGAAAGGCGGCTCAGTCGCCATTGTCGTCCATCGTCGGAAACAACCCCATCAACCCTGAATCGCTGACAATGGTAAAGAGTGAGGACAGCTCGACCGCCGCACGCCAAGAAATGGCTCCTGAGCGCCGTGTGAACTATCATAGTTGCATGCCGGATTGCTGACACGCCAATTGCATCCGCCGTGCCAGCACGCGGGCCATCGATGCCACGTCTGTTGCACGAGCAGATACGGCCCAGTGCCAGGCCGCACAAAGACACAGGCCGCCTAGAGCTACCATGGCATCGTTACCGTGGAGCCTCGAGGAACTGAGTGATCCTTCATAGGAAAAGCTTTAAGGGTCACTTTGGGAAAGCTTCACTTCTTGATTCTTGAGCTATAGTAATTGTGTTGATCAATTTTTTTAAGTTTAACTAGGTTCGTAGCAATTAACAACGATCTATCAAATAATACTAATTATGTAATATAAATATTAATATTTTTTTGTATATATATTTTGGTCAAACGTTTGATTTCTTGGAAAATGAGAACGACATTTTTTTTTCATAGAGCGAGTTGGTGTAATCGGTACTCCCTCCGTTCTAAAAAATAAAGTCGTTTTGGACAACGACACGGTCTCCAAAGTATAACTTTGACTTCTTATTTTTATAAAAAATATTTTATCAAAAAATGATATATGTATATTTTTATGAAAGTATTTTTCAAGATAAATCTATTCGTATAGTTTTCACATTTCTAAACTCAACAACTTAAAAATTATTCATGCAATGTTTGATCCAAACCTTATAAAAAACGACTTCATTTTTTCCCAGAACGGAGGGAGTACATGGTGGAGATCGGTACATGGTGACATTTATCAGATCCATACATGGTGGAGAGTTGTGCATAGTCCAGATAGGCGATTACTATTGCGTCTTTTGGACGGTTGGGCCTTGGGTTTGTTCGTTTGGCTTATCAGTTAGAATTTATAGTATTTTTTTTTCGTAATAAAATAGTTTCTGTTAGTTTATCAGTCGGCTTTAATACCAGTCGAATAGACCCTATAGTAATTGCTAAGGATCTAAACATGTGATCCTAAATTAACGTGGTTTCATCCGTGTTTTTTTTCTCAGAAGATACCATTTATCTGAGTCATCATTTGCAATCGTTTCTCAACACTCGATCTGAGCCTGAACCTGAAGCAGCCTAGGCCGCGTCACATCGAATCTTTATACCAATTAGGAGTATTAAACATAAGTTAATTATAAAACTAATTATGCAGATAGAAGCTAATTTACGAGACGAATCTATTAAATCTAATTAGTCCGTTATCTGACAATATGGTGCTACAGTAAACATTTGCTAATGATTGATTAATTAGGTTTAATAGATTCATCTTGTAAATTAGTCTAGGGTTTCTGCAATTAGTTTAATAATTAGCTCATGTCTAATCTTCTTAATTAGCCTCCGAATATTCGATGTGATAAGGACTATGCCTGCAAACGGTGTGGAGCGGTGCGTACCTTTTGTTGAACCTCCGCTCCGTCGCTGGCAAATGAGGGTCAGGGTCAAACCGCCCCATCCATTGGCTAACCTGAGGTTCACCGAGGTCGAACCGCCCTAGTCTCCTTACGATACAACGAAGAAATCAAGGCTGAGGCGGCAGCTGGGGAGTGAACGACGTTGCGAATAGAATACTAAATGGGGCGACCCTAGGGGCGATTAGGATAACAGGGTTGTTACCATTTGGAACCTCTTCGTATTTGGTTCGAACCGATCCAAACCGTGAATAAAATTTAGAAGCAGACCGCAGATCCGAAGGGGTCGACCCGGACCCCTTACAGGGTGAATAAGGACTAAACTTTAGCCTAAGGATCTAAACACCCCAATAGACCAGTGGCTCATCTTCTGATCTTCATACAACCTGTTCGTTTGGTTGTGGCTTGTCGTAAACGATCGTAAATTTTCAGCCGGAACAGTATTTTTCTCTCACACAAACCAATCAGCAGTACTTCTTTACGAACCAGACAACCGAACAGGCTGATAGATGGCCGCCGGACCAGGAACCACAGTCCACAGAACAATTCCAAGGACTGGCCCGGCAAAGAATTGCAAACCTACCAGAAGCCAACCAGGCAGATTTTTTTTTGGTGTGTGGATAACAACTAGGCAGGCTGAACGTGAACGAGCACCTGCCACGCGTGCCAACCGGTTCTTGCTTGGTGCAGGCATTTTCGCAAGCTGCCGGGCCGGAGGCGATCACGCTCGGTCGCTCGCGCACGTAGCGACGGCATGGGGAGTTGCGGTAAGCCGGTAACCAACATTTCGCGTGAAAACCCCTGTCGGGCGGGCCGACCCGAAGCACCGTTTCCTCGGTTAGCTATGAAGGTTCCAACAGCCCAAACCCCCCCAAACGGCCTCCTCTCCGCCGCCCGTCCACCCGCCGGACAACCGCGTCTCCAGCGCGCCCCTTTATATCTCCCCCGTTTCCTTCTCCCCCTACGGCCCTAACTCTACTCCAATGCAATCAGTCACCCTTCTTGATCCTTGCGCCACCCGATCTTGGCCATCGGTCTCGCTGACGCACGCCAACTAGAGGAGCCATTCGCAAATAACCGGGAGCGTGCGCATGGCGCCGAGCAAGCTCCGGCAGGCGGTGGGCGCGGCCAAGGACCAAACGACCATCGCCCTCGCTAGGGTGAGCGCCGCGGACGAGGTGGCCTCGGACGTCGAGGCGTCCATCGTGAGGGCAACGGCGCACGGCGAGTCCGCCCCCGCAGACGAGCGGCACGCGGCGGAGATCCTCACGCTGACGCGCTACTCCCGCGCGCGCGTGGTCGCGTGCGTGGCCTCCGTGTCGCGCAGGCTCGGGCGGGCGCGGACGTGGCCCGTCGCCGTCAAGACGCTGGCGCTCGTGCACCGCCTGCTCGCGGAGGGGGACCCGGCGTACGAGCAGGAGGTGTTCCTCGCCACGCGGCGCGGTAGGCGCATGCTCGACGTGTCTCGGTTCCGAGAACGCGAACGCGCGCGGTCCCGCGACTGGGACTTCGCCGCGTTCGTGCGCGCCTACGCCGCGTACCTCGACGATCGGCTCAAGCAACGGATGCAGGCCCGCGGAGCAGGCGCGGCCAGCCCGGGTAAATGGCACGTCGACGGTGACACCGACAGGACGACGTACGAGGTGGCCGAGGGCTGGGAGCTCGTGCCGGGGGAAAGGCCGGCGACCGAGACGACGACGACAGAGGATGTCATCGCGAAGGCGCAGCAGCTGAAGCACCTCCTCGGCCGATTGATCGAGTGCCGGCCGACAGGGAAGGCGAGGATGAACCCGGTGGTGACCGCGGCGCTGTACAGGCTGGTGAAGGAGAGTGCGGCGATGTACTGCGAGCTCACGGAGGTGATGGTCGTGCTTGTGGACCGCTTCGCCGAGCTGGGCACTCCTGCCTGCGTGTGCGTCCACTCCATCTTCACCAGCCTCGCAAAGCTGGTCGACGAGCTCGACGACTTCTACTCGTGGTGCAAGGCCACCGACGTGTGCCGCCCGTCGGACATCCCCGAGATACAACGCGTCCGGCAGAAGAATCTGGACCTCATGGACGAGTTCATCCGCGACAGGCATGCGTCGGCGTCCCAGTGGGGCCGCTCACCGCCTACTCCCGTCAAGAAGAACAACGTCAAAGGAATTGAGCCAGCGCCGAAAGAGCAGCAGGTTGTTGTGCTAGAGGAGAACAATGTCGGCAAGGCGGCGCCGGCGGAACCTTCTAGCTCACTCGTCGTCGTGGTCGACGACAAGATGGCCGACTTCTTGAACTTGGGCCAGGACGCGTCGCCGCCATCCGGCGAAGAGCATGGGAGGAATCTGACACTGCCACTGTTCGACGGTAACTCAGCGGAAGCTGCGCCGAAATGGGTGGCGTTCGACGATTCAGAAGCCGACTGGGAGACGGCACTGGTGCAGTCCACAAGCACGCCCGTTGCCCAGCAATCGGAGCTCGGTGGCGGCTTCAACACGACGGTGCTGGACGACATGTGCAACCACGCGACGGCCAATGCAACCGTGACAAACGCGCGTGCGTTCGCCGGAAGCGCAAGCAGCGTGGCGACGCAGCCGCTTGGTGCGGCGGTTCTTGCCCTGCCGCCACCGCCTGGGGTCAGCACCGCCGCCGCCGCCGCAAGGGCTGATCCATTCGCCGCGTCCCTGGCGGTGCCTCCGCCGATATGTGTTCAGATGACGGACTTGCAGACAAGGCAGCGGCTCCTTATGCAGGAGCAGAACGCATGGCACCAGTACGAAACACATAGGGCAGCCTGGAGTTACAATCTGTTGTGAGATCGTATTGTTTCAGTGTTTTGGGTGTTGGACTAAAAAGAATTCAATGTGGAACACAGTTCACAGCTAAAGATTCCGGAGATTGCTTAGTTGCTTGATAGTTAAAAGTAAAAGTAATTTCATTACTAGATATAGTAAAAGTAATATATATAGAAAAGTCAAAACATCTTATAATTCGAACGAATGGAGTACTTGATTTGTGCCGTACTAGAATACTGCAAGATTGCTGCATGGTTATATACAGGTCGAATATAATTATGGCCTCATGGGACTAGACATTACCATGTCCCGTATAGTTATACCCAAAGGTAAGCAAGGTAAACTGGATCGTCTTGATGCAAACAGAGGATATATACACACTAGGGCCCCGTTCGGCTTACCCCATATCCAGCTTGTTTGACTTTTTTTTTTAGCTGAAATAGTGTTTTTCTCTCCCAACATTTCAGTCAGAACAATATTTTTCAGCCAAAATTTAGCAAGCCAACGGGGCCTAGATGCATTAACCCCTAAAATCACAAGGTTCGCCCCAGCACGGGAGATGGGCCACGTCACCCGAAATTGTTGATTGGGACGTGTCCTTGAAAGACCTTTGCTGGTCTCCCCCCCCACCCCCCCATCGCGATGGTACCTGCACCTCCTTCCCTCCCGACGCGGTGACGGGCGCATCGCGATGGTACCTGCACCTGCTGCGTCCGGCCCCTGGCGGCCCCCCTCCCTTCCTTCCACCCCCCGCGCGGGCGGGCCACCGTGGCACGGCGTGCGCGTGGCCAGCGCACGAGGCACGACGCGGTTGGCGTGGGGCCGACCTCCTGAGGCCGGCCGGCGTGGCTCCGCTCTCCTTCGGCCCGTCCGTGCTCCCGGGCGCTTCGGTGTTCCTCGGGTCGTCCCCTCGTCGGTTTGGTTCCTCCCCCCTCTCTCCTCTTACCTCTCCCTGTGGGATCTTCCTCTCCGGCGCTTGCGGAGGCTCGCCCCCCTATGGACTCGCTATGGACGACGATCTATACACGGACGAGCTGTTCGCCTCTAATCGACGAAACCCTAGCTGCTAGATGATGGGTACACTTTCCTCTTGCTGCTAGATTAATTTGAGGGAATAGGGTAGTAGTGTGACGAATACACAGTAAATGTTTAGTGTTTCATGCAGTGATCATGGGCCATCATTCCACAATTTACACCTCTTTCTTTTTTCTAGATTTCTAGATAACTGAGGCAATGCTCATGGACTATGATGGTTCTTTCTTTCACATCTGTCTACTGTGTTCGTAAATGAGGCAGTGATCATGAGCAATGTTGATTTTATTTTTCCCGCCTCTTTCTAACTGAGGCACTGAGGTAATGGTCATTTGGTTGCTTCGATTTTTTACGTCTCTTTCTACCTATTCTATTTTGTGTACTTTGGAGCATTTCTGCTTCTTCCGTGATAGCTGAAGCAATGGTCATTGGTCAATTTGTTGGTTCGATTTTTCCCTACCCTTTGTACTTATTCTATTTTGTGTACTTTGGAGCCACCAATGGGACCTACTGTTTATTGGAGCCACTTTTAATTATGAAATCTGAAGTGGCGCTGTGCAGGGACGATAGACAGCGCGGCAAGAATAGCCTTTGCCTCCTGTACAGTACAAATCGGTGCAGTGATCTTGCACCGTTAATCTCGGATGGAATGGTCCATGTTTTTCTGCCTGACATAGATGGCCTCTACTTCGGGAGCCCGGCCTGAAATGTAGAGCTTCTGATGTCATTGCCTCTGATGGTTTCTCCCTTTGCCTAATCTGATCATTGCCTTTGGTTTTGCGCTCATATTTACATATGACCACTGCCTGTGATGTCAATAACACATAATTGTGCAATCTGAGCTTCTGCCTATTGCCCGTGAACTTATAGATATATTCTTCTTGATTTTAGGCTTGTGATCGATGTCTGTGATCATTGCTTGTGAAGTCAGGTTATACACTTTTGGTTCTGAGCACACATCATGTTCCCAGAGATAACATTGTCAGACACTTTGCTTCTCTGTGATGACTTTTGCTTCTTCTGTTTCTTTAAGTTCTCACTGCAACTATTCGCACTGCTGATATAGGTTCATTTTAACAGAGGCAGTCTTTTTTGAATTTCCTAATAGTGTCATTAACTTTCGAATACAAATATTACCTATACATGATCTATCTCTGCAGAGTTTCTCATTTACCGACTTTGTGGAGATTGGTTCCAATGTGTTTTGGGGGCTCTTGTTGTAGTGGTAACTTTTTTAGCAAAAAAAAATGCTCACCATACCGGTTTAAGGTTGTGCGTTGTTGCCTTTCAAAGATTACGGATTACATTTATTACGTAAATAATAGTCCATTGCCTACTTCAAATTTGTGGTGCACAGACTATAGCATGATCTCTTTTATTAGCCTAAACTTCACGCATGAAAGGCGGCATTCAAGTTCTTTTTAATCTTAAATTAGAGCCCTTTTATTAACCTAAGCTTGCTTAGTTGAATAGTTAGCATGCAGTGCCAGGCTGCCCGTTGTCGATTTCTTCCTGCTGCTCATATCTTCCTAGGGTGAGTACTCTCCTTTCTTCCATATCACCAAAGTATGTGTTGATTTTTCAACATGTGCCCCATTCCTGTTGATTTTAGCACCTACTCTGTTTATATAGATTCACAGTTTTGGATGCACCATATAGCGCTGCTGCTCATCGGTGCCCTGCTCGGATATCTTGCGTGGCATCGCCCAGATTGGGTATGCGTCAATCATTTTCTTCTTCGCCTTAGGGTTCTTTCCTTCCAATCTTGTTGCTCCTAATGAAATTAGATACTATCTTGTTGCTCCTAATGAAATTAAATACTACTTGCCTGCTCCACAGGGCTTCGAGGTCCTATCCATTTACTTTCGATTATGAATATCGGTCTTCCACAGTTTGATGTGATTTTTTTTTCTTTTGTTGTCCTTTTGATTTCCAGTTCTTGGTTAGCCTTCAAGAAATATGGAGTGGTGTTATTGCTGCCTGCTTCGGAAGGGCCGCGTGGAAGATTTGGAATCATAGCTGACTCTTCAACAAGAAGGTGAGCTTTTGTATGCCCTGCCTTTAATGCAGACCTAGACCAAAAAAATAGATAAATTCAATTGAGCTTATGAATTTCCATGTCATGTGTGTTACCACTCTTACAACCAGCTGCCTACAGGTTAATATTGTCTGCGTTTTTTGTGCTTTCATCTTGCCAACTCCTCAAACTATTGGTGAGTTTACCATTGGGCCAATGAAAATTCCTCTTCTCCTCCTGTGTGGTGCTTTATGTAAGATGTTTATGGTATATAATGGGTCCTCAGGTTATATGACTACGAGACTTCATTTCAGATTAGTTACAGTTGTGAAATATATTTGGCAGAGTTGAAGGCTGCATATGATATCTAGCTAACATCCTGGATTGTAAAATAGATATGTAGGAGTGTGGCAGAGGAAATACTCCTCCATTTTCCCTATTTGTTTTCATTCAGATGCTGTCTGAAAATCACATGCAGATCACTATAAATCCTAGGAGTTGGCAGAACATATGGCTCTGTTTTGATGATTTCAGCACCAACTATTGGTTAGTAGAAGTTTGTGCAGGTTGAGACCTTATAAACAGTCACTGAGTTTCTATATCTGCAGCTTGATTAGAAAAATATAGGTGTGAAGCGATATTCAACAGGCCATAAAAGATCTTGCCTACTTGCACAATTGCTTAATTTACATGCTACCTGGAAATTATTATATATTGGTCACTGCAAATTCTAACTCCGCCTATGGTGGGGCGCCTCTAGTGTCCCAGCATAGCAGGTCTCAAGCCCTGGTAAAGGAGGAGGGTTGTGTTAGGCGCGGTGAGTCAATGTAAAAACTTAGCCACTTTAATGGAGATGAAACCCAAAAGAATTCTGTTGGGACGTAACCCTCTTAGCGACGCGCCATGTCGGAAGAAAAGCTTGTCCAACATCGGTTAAGATGGTTTGGCCATGCCCAGATGAGACCTCCAGAGGCACCAGTGCATTGTGAAGTCCTAAGCCAAGCTAATAATATGAGGAGAGGTAGAGGAAGACCGAAATTGACATGGGGGGAAGCAATAAAAAGAGATTTGAAAGCTTGAGATATACCTAGAGATCTTTGTTTGAATAGGAGTACTTGAAAAGCAGCTATTGAAGTGCCTGAACCGTGACTTGGGACTCTTGGTGGGTTTCAACTCTAGCCTACCCCAACTTGCTTGGGACTAAAAGGCTATGTTGTTGTTGTTGTTGTGGTGGTGGTGGTGGTCACTGCAAATTCTAGAAACTATCAGGAGTACATGGGCTAATTTTTATGATTATATCACTTGCTGTGTGCTATGAGGTTTATGCAACCTAACACCTTCTAACTGTTCACCGGGTTTGATCTCAGGGAAAAAATGATTGTTTCAGTCTTCTTCCTATCACACCTCTTGGTGGTTCAGTCATGCTGTTGTCTGGCAGTGCCTATCTTCAACATTGATTGGCGAATTACAAATGACGATCAAGGAGCATCAGTGCATCAAACAACTGAAGGGAGGTACATATATTATCTGTTTTGGCATTACAGTATGTGCATAGTTAACAATTGCAATTATAAGTTCCTCAGTTGTTTACTTGCTGAATATGCCTTTACCATACGTGTCGTCCTATCTATGAACTTTTATTTAACCTTGCCAACTCATACATGCTCTCGCTAAAGAATATGTTTTTGCCATGTCTACATGTAACAATGAGATGTCCCCTGTAATATATTATGTCCATATTACATTATTATATTACCTGTTCAAATAGTATGAGTTATCGGCTGTTTCAATGCAGAATATTAGCTATATGGTTTCTGTCATTTTCTTATGTTCATTCGTTTCCTTTAAATATTTGATTGATTGTTGGAAATGCAGGTCCATAGTCAGCTCACAGTAACATGTTCCTACAATGGCCTCTTCTCTTCCTGTGTGGTGTAAGCCCACATATACATGTCAGTTCTAACACTGACTG